TAATATTACGAAGAAATCAGTCCCACTGCACTCGGATAGAGATTAGTTCGGTTAACCACCAAAGTTTAATAGCATCAATGCCTCTTATGCCTGAAGCTACCATTGTTTCCCATTATTCGTTCTTTAATAAATTTATATTTATTGTTTAAATGGTGTCTTTTACTAGAGTATCGCCGACGCCTCTCACTTCTCTCCACTCGACTTAACAAAAAGAATCCCGACCCTTCGTGATAGTAAAATTAGACAAGCCATCCACTGACAAGTGAGCAGTTTTCACCAAAATATTGCCGACAAAAAGAGGTACTACTTCGTCCTACCTCATGGGCTACCCGCATTACGTTTTGTTTGTTTAATTTATAATGACAAGTATTTATTTACAGTAGAAATGAAATTAGTGATGGATATTTTAATAACTCAACTTAGATGGAGATATGAAAACATATGAAATTTCGTCTGACTACAAATTTTTAACAGGTGAAAAATTAAAGTCGATAGAAAATTTTAAGTAACTTGTGATTTATTCCCTAAATGTCTAAACGATATAATTTTCTGTAGAATTATTATCAATTTCAAAAATAAGGCAGTGACTTAATCCCAGACCTTAAAGCAGCTACAAGTTTAGATCTTATAAAAACGATTGATGAATACAGTTTAGTTTATCAGAGAGAATCAGAAAATATAAAATTATTAAAACAACCAATGTGCCAACAATGCAAATACAGTAGAGCGTCGATTATCCGAAAGTCAATCATCCGAAAGAATTCCAGTCAGCAAATTTAAATTTTCGCCAGTGCTGTGGCGCTTCAATCTTTGGCTATGTCTTGGGCTACTCAAATATTTTACGTTTTTGATACTAAATTAACTTCTGAAGTATAATTTTTTATTGTTTTTATATTTTTCAATATATTTATTTTGTTTGCACAAAATAAAAAAATAATTTCTAACGATACAATAGTCTTTGTTAGGCTTAACATCGACGAAAATTCAACGCGAAGCGACACGCAACGGAGAAAAATTTCGAAATCGGATACGTTAAACTATTTTTTCGTACGTAAATCAGTTATCCGCAATATCAGTTATCTGGACAACCCCAGTCCCCAATTGATTCAGAAAATCGACGCTCTGCTGTATATTTAAAAAAGTAATAGTAATAATAACTGTAATAATGTTCAATGATAAACTCCGTAAAATAAAAAAAACTTTTTGAATTACAAGTAATGTAATGAAAGGAACATCAACTCAAATATACAGTAGGTGATCGGTTAACGAACATAATCCGTTCCAAGACTTTGTTCGTTAATCGATTATCGATTTACAATAGGTTTTAATGGGAATTTAATTAATTCGTTCTGGAGACTCCCCAAAATAAAAAATATAGGCTATACTTTCTTACTACGTTTATTTATATGTAATAATAAAAATACATACGTACACAGTCTTGCGTTAAACTGAAGAAACATGACTAATAAGTCATGTTTTTTCAGTTTGAAAGGGTTAAAGAATCTGTCTAATGTCGATTGCTTTTCTCTCTTCTTCAGGATTTTTCGTAAGTAATTAATAGCATTGCAATTGTAGAAATCCCCAAGCCTCAACCTGGTTTGGATGCCATTCTAAGACCGTTGTTCTGACATCCTCCCACTTCTTCAAAGGATCTTTAATAACAGATATCGGCATTAATCCTCTTTTTCAGAAGAAAACATATCTCGCCGAGTTTCTTGGTGTTCTTCATTCAAGAGTTCTTGGCGTTCTTCTGTCGTCAGATCCGTTTCAGGTTCCATTATGAACTCTTCGATGTTCTTTATTTCTCAGATGTGATTTTTGTTACTCCTTTAGCTGCTTGAGTCTTCTTGATTATACAGTATTTTTCTTAAATAAGATTGAACTGCGGCCTACTGTAGACCTGTTCACGCCATACTGCCCAGCAACATTAGGCATCTTCTGCCCACTCTCTACCTTTGCTATTATACTCTCACCTTTCGAAAAGAAAAACAGACGCAAAACTTAACGAGTGCCTACCCGACAGTCTCGCGAATACATAAAAGAATTGTTTTGTCAGAAAAATAAAAGGCTGGAATTACAAGGGAGAGTTTCAAAGTTCGGAGGAATACTATCCGATCGGTATATACCGGCTTGAGCGTCGATATCGACGTCTCCCACACTCCGAAAAGTTTCGAATTGTTGCCCGAAGACAAGGAAAGTCCAATTGGTATTCGTTATTTTACGTCGCTTCTTCTTGTTTGTTCTGTGGGATGTTCGTTATCCGATCATGTGTTCGTTGTCCGAACATAAAAATCTTTCGCGAAAGTGTTCGTTATCCGATTTGTTCGTTGTCCGATCTGTTCGTTAACCGAGATCACCCACTGTATTTATATAATAACGCAAAGTTTTGGTAGCCTGGCAGTGAAGCGACCTGTCATTCGTGTTAATGTAATAGGTTTGATATCAGAATAATACGAGAGAAAAGAATTTCGTATAAAGAACGGAAGTGACGGCCAATGTTGGACGAATGAGAGGCGATACATACCGAGAAAAAAAAAAAAAAAGAGCGGACGACAGAATCAAAGCAGTTGTCGGAAATCGGGATAATAGAACGATGTTGGTATTAGCGATGGAGTGGATAAAATGAATCTTTTCAGTGAAAGGAATAAACGGTTATTACTGCGACCTTGATACCCAATTCTACCCCTTCTCCAGTTACAAAGAAGCAGATGTCAATCGTTGAAAGTTGAAATAATTGACACTGTAATAAAGCACTTATCGGTTTGTTTACGTTAAAAAATGAGTGTGAATCCCTTCTGTAAAGATAATAAACATTTACTATTGTGACATTGACTTCCATCTCCACTTCTCTCCAATTCCTTTGTAATTGGAGAGAAGCGGATTTCACTGCCTGGCATCTGGAATAATTTAAACGGAAGTGAATCTAGATATTTTTTTTTTTGCATTTTTGGAACAAATTACAGAAATATAAACATAAGAAACGTTAGAAAAGAGTAAAATTATATAAATAAACGATATAATCGTATTTTCTAATGGCAATAATGCCAGATTTTTATTACATAAAAAAGAAAAAAAAACGCGATTATATTAAAAAAAAGATGTGATTACGACTTTTAAGCTTAGTGCTTAACATAATCCCTCTTGAATCATTCCTATCACCGCCAAATAAATCATACAACGGCGCAGTCCATTTTAAACCAATGGAAGCACAGGTAGAAATGATTGACAGGTCAAATGACGTCACTTACGTGACGTGATTCATGTCACGATGAGGAAAACCATTTTCACTGGACAGTACGTGTAGTTTGATCTTTAGCACGTATTCGATTCGAATTCGATTATAGAACGATTGTAAACGTTCCAGAAAATTGATCAAATTGAAAATAGTTTGTTTGACTGGACGTAAAAATTCTCTAATTAGTCTGGAAACGGGGGGGGCCTAATTCTTGCATTCTGTGAAAACGGGTAAGATTGGCTATAATGTAATTATCTTAATCTTCACTATCGTTACTTTTTGCCCACAAATAAACACCCAGCGAAGCAGGTCCTTGCAGCTAGTTGTAAATAAAAATGTTTACAGACTAGAACCCATNTATGGACATAAAATATTCATTTTGCGTTCGACGGTTTCTTTTTACAATATTATAAGAATAATAATTATAATTATAAAAAGCTTTTTCCATACGAAATTAAAACATTTTCTGCGCACGAATTTCGACCTACTTCCGGAGCTTCACAGTATATAAACTTTCGATGCAAACCAGAAGTCCTGTTAATACAAAAGAATTAATCATAATTATCTCCATCGGACGAAACTTTACAAAAAGATATGTTATTGTTAAAATTATTTGGTGCACTTCCTTAAAACGCGCCGTCTCTCGTCCCGGCTTTGACCGCTATCGCGATTTTTGTCACTTGACATAAATCACGACGTGGTGCTAATCAGGTTGTCCAGAATTTGTGGCTGCTTTTAACCATAATAAATCCATCGCACAGGGTTTTTCACTTTAGCAACTAATTTTTGTCATCGTATAGTTTGTCATCAAGCACCTACTAGTACGTGTAGTTTGATCTTTAGCACTTTTAAGCAAAACAAAAAAATCCAAATGAGTATTTTTCTCCATACATGTTTTTTTTTATTTTTTTAAGTATGAAAATTCAATTTCTACGAAAACTTCTAGAACTAACGTAGTTCGACATTAAAAATCTATATATATATATATAAATGGACGTGTGTGTCCCTATATTTCACTTTTCAGCCAAAACTGCACATCGTACAGTACATGAATGGTGTTTGTATGTGGTAGTAGCCCCAAGTCTCCATTCTTGCACTATGGTGGTTGCGTCTGGATAGCTATAAGGGTGCGGGAGATATGGGGGCTTAAAGTGGTTGACTTCGAAGATTTTCTATTTCGATTTTAAAAATGTTCGAATTCGAATTCGATTATAGAACGATTGTAAACGTTCCAGAAAATTGAACAAATTGAATATAGTTCGTTTGACTGGACATAAAAATTCTCTAATCAGTCCGGAAACGGGGGACCTAATTCTTGCATTCTGTGAAAACGGGTAAGATTGGCTATAATGTAATTATCTTAATCTTCACCATCGTTACTTTTTGCCCACAAATAAAAACCCAGCGAAGCAGGTCCTTGCAGCTAGTTGTAAATAAAAATGTTTACAGACTAGAACCCATATTTTAAAGTAACAAACCACTGTGCGTTGTATCACCTCTATAGTATCATGTATTATTCTCTATTAATCAATGACACATGTACTGTACATAAACTAGTAAAATTACACCATGTTAATTCAACTTTGTACAATTATTTTTTAATCAAAGAAACTATTTTCTTTCGATACATAGAGGCAATTGTTTTATATACAATAACAACGTTACAAAATGAAAAAAATAAAACTTCAAAAATTTCTTTTTTGTATTCAAAAAAAAATCTAAATACGAATATTAATAAGAATAAATACTTTTGTAAACATTTTCATTCATAACGAAGAGCGTTATTCATTATTATTATGACATTTGATAATATGATTATTTAAATTACGTTTAAAACTGAACTTTTGTAAGCAACAAGTACACGAAAATGGCTTTTCCCCTGTATGCACTCGGAGATGCCGAATCAAATTTCCTTTGTGTGCAAAACTCCGTTTGCAATGATCACAAGTGAAGGGTTTCTCCCCTGAGTGAGTTCGCAGATGTTTAATCAGAGTCCCTTTCTGTGTAAAACTCCGTTTGCAATGATCACAGGTAGTGAAGGGTTTCTCCCCTGAGTGAGTTCGCAGATGTTTAATCAGAGTCCCTTTCTGTGTAAAACTCCGTTTGCAATGATCACAGGTGAAGGGTTTCTCCCCTGAGTGAGTCCGCAGATGTTCAATCAGAGTCCCTTTCTGTGTAAAACTCCGTTTGCAGTGATCACATGTATAGTGTTTCTCCCCGGTGTGAGTCTTGACGTGGTACCGTAGACTGCTGGAATGGAGGAACTGACGATTACAGAATTTGCAAGAGAAGCGCCGTTCTCCAGTGTGAATCCTTTGATGACGTTTTAAATTGGACTTCGAAGCGAATTCTTTCTTGCAACTGTCACATCGATACCTCCCATTACTTGACATCTGATTATTTAAACCTGTAAAATACGATAAAATATAAATATTAAAATCATTGTCTAAAGATCAAAAGTCTCTTCAATTTATTCACAATTAAATATCTAAATTTAAGCACTCTATTTTTAACGTTTTGTATGCAGATAGAAAACTAATTTGCAATTTTTTCACGAGTTTCCTTAAATTAAAATTTAAGTGTTACAACATATTCCCGTGATTCAACCACACCATACTCTAACTGCGTACACCAATGTTTACATATATTACCAAAAGGCATAAATACTATCACAAATTAAAATGCCATTTATACATTTTTTCTATACATAATTTATATACAGTTTGCAAAAGAATATATATATAGATAATCATCTTCATTTAATTTTCTGCTTTTCGTCCTTTGCATGAAATATACTTTCTCCTTTGAGGCATTCTTGTATGATTTCTTATGACTGGTTTCAGTTTTGGTCTTCCGTAAACATAAGTTTAACACATTCTTCAGCTCTTACTAGAAATTCTCTTAATTGGTGAGTGATGGATCTGTAAATAACAAAAAGCTCTGTAAAACAAGATACGAGAATGGGGTTAAAACAATATTATCTACATCATATTGAATATGTTAAAACTAAAACTAATTCTTCTGAAAATTCTTGGGCATTTTACCCCAGAAAAGTAAAGCTTCATCGAAAACCTGAAAAAGAAAGAGATTCCAGTTAATATTCGTTATTAAAGTATATGTATTTACACACATTAAATTTCTTTCCACATAAAAAGAAAATATCTGCTGAAATCTCGACTTGTACTTCGTAACGAATCTTCCTTCTGTGTTTTCCTCTTAACGTAATTAACAAAGAGATTCTCTTCTTCATTCGAGACTGTAGATCATTTTGTTAGATTAATAAATTGCATTGATTCTATTGATTATCGAAGAAGTAACTATCTCTTAACATAAAGCTAACGTTATCAATAATTTGCCAAATATATTAACTTATTTTGGTAACCACTGAAAAAAGGTTTATTGACGAATAAGCAAAGATGTGACTAAGGGGTACTGAAATTAATTTAAACTTAGGTAAGTCCTAGTTGACGTTTTATTATTAAAACTTATTATACTGGATAACTGGTTCTGCAAATTAAGTAAACAAAGTCAGAAAAACTGTCTTTATTTATCATCTGAACACATACACGATATCTTTGTGTTTCGGACTTATCAGCAGGTTTACCATCGAAAATCTCTAAAAACATTTCAATTTAAAATTGTAACAAAATTATTTATTTTGAAAAACCATAAAAGTTTCCGACAATAAAATAATTAAAAACTTATATTTCCTGGGTTTTTAAGTACAGGTAATCCCCGTATTACACGGCACTTCTATAGCACGGATTCACTCTAACACGGTTCGAGAATTGGAAACATCCCCCGTATAACACGGTGCTTTTACAGCACGGATTCACTCTAACACGGTTTGGGAATTGGGTAAAACCCTAGTACAACATAAAATGTAATAAAGGGTGTGTTCTTTTACATTTCCGCGTAACCCCGCGCGAGTATTCTAATTGTTTTCGTGGCTACTTGGAATGCTCTTTCAACAAATAATCCATTTAATGGTTAAATTTTACAATTGGGACTCTTCTTTTGCCTCTAAAAGCTCATTTTAGATTTATAGATGCCTCCATCATGATACTATCGGTAGTGCGGGCGCCGCCATCTTTCACTGTCATTCCTAAATTCCTATAAACAGCAGAACACTCCTGTTGCAGAGCGAACGCTATTAACGAACGCACCCACAAACTGTTACCAGTTGATGATGCTCATGCTAAGATCATCATATAAAATAATCCTCTGGTAAAATATTTACTTAAATAATAAATAAGTATTTTACCTATGAAAAAAATGAATAATAAATCCGATTTAACATGTTTTTTTTAATTTTTGTAACGTAACCTCCCTTTTCGCACTTGTTCTTTGTTTCGTATAACACGGATTCGCATAATACGGCTATTTTTTGGAACGTAACTCCCGTGTTATACGGGGGTTACCGGTACCTCCACGAAACCGACAATATTTAATGCAATATTCATTAATATCAATTCAAACATATTCCCGCTTTTAAAACAATATAATTAATTAAAAATAATGAAGATTGAACTTAACCCTACTTCATTTCTCCTTTTATACTTTCTCTCTCTCTATTAGAAAATGCTGTTCCATGATTGGTTTATTTCTCTTCCTGTGTTGTTGTTATTCTATGTTTTTGTTTAACTACAGTCGACCCCCTATAAGATCGTTGATTTTTCTGTTTTATATGAATTCCATGTTGTACGAGTCACTTAGATTTTACAAATACATGTGCCGGGCTGTGAACGGCTCACATATTTGTAAAATCTAAGTGACTCGTACAACATGTAATTCAGATAAAACGGAAAAATCAACGATCTTATAGGAGGGTCGACTGTATCGTATTTTGACGAGTATAAGTCGCTGTCAAGTATAAGACGCAGCCCTATTATGAGAGAAAAAATTTAGAAAAAAACTTTTTTAATGGGATTGTCTAAAGATGCATTTTATTCGTTTTTTTTTTAATCAAGAATATGNAATATTCGTTATTAAAGTATATCTGTTTACACATATTAAATTTCTTTCCACATAAAAAGAAAATATCTGCTGAAATCTCGACTTGTACTTCGTAACGAATCTTCCTTCTGTGTTTTCCTGTTAATGTAATTAACAAAGAGATTCTCTTCTTCATTCGAGACTGTAGATCATTTTGTTAGATTAATAAATTGCATTGATTCTATTGATTATCGAAGAAGTAACTATCTCTTAACGTAAAGCTAACGTTATCAATAATTTGCCGAATATATTAACTTATTTTGGTAACCACTGAGAAAAGGTTTATTGACGAATTAGCAAAGATGTGACTAAGGGGTACTGAAATTAATTTAAACTTAGATAAGTCCTAGTTGACGTTTTATTGTTAAAACTTATTATACTGGATAACTGGTTCTGCAAATTAAGTAAACAAAGTCAGAAAAACTGTTTTTATTTATCACCTGAACACATACACGATATCTTTGTGTTTCGGACTTATCAGCAGGTTTACCATCGAAAATCTCTAAAAACATTTCAATTTAAAATTGTAACAAAATTATTTATTTTGAAAAACCATAAAAGTTCCCGACAATAAAATAATTAAAAACTTACAATTCCTGGGTTTATAAGTACAGGTAACCCCCGTATTACATGGCACTTCTATAGCACTGATTCACTCTAACACGATTCGAGAATTGGGAACATCCCCCGTATAACACGGTCCTTTTATAGCACGGGTTCACTCTAATACGGTTTGGGAATTGGGTAAAACCCTAGTACAACATAAAATGTAATAAAGGGTGTGTTCTTTTATATCTCTGCGTAACTCCGCGTGAGTATTCTAATTGTTTTCGTGGCTACTTTGAATGCTCTTTCAACAAATAATCCATTTAATGGTTAAATTTTACAATTGGGACTCTTATTTTGCCTCTAAAAGCTCATTTTAGATTTATAGATGCCTCCATCATGATACTATCGGTAGCGCGGGCGCCGCCATCTTTCACCGTCGTTCCTAAATGCCTACAAACAGCAGAACACTCCTGTTGCAGAGCGACCGCTATTAACGAACGCTCCCACAAACTGTTGCCAGTTGATGATGCTCATGCTGAGATCATCATATAAAATAATTCTCTGGTAAAATATTTACTTAAATAAAAAATAAGTATTTTACCTATGAAAAAATGAATAATAAATCCGATTTAACAACATGTTTTTTAATTTTTGGAACCTAACCTCCCTTTTCGCACTAATTCTTTGTTTCGTATAACACGGCAATTTTTTGGAACGTAACTCCCGTGTTATACGGGGGTTACCTGTACCTCCACGAAACCGACAATATTTAATGCAATATTCATTAATATCAATCCAAACATATTCCCGCTTTTAAAACAATATAATTAATTAAAAATAATGAAGATTGAACTTAACCCTACTTCGTTTTTCCTTTTGTACTTTCTCTCTCTGTATTAGATAATGTTGTTCCATGATTGATTTATTTCTCTTCCTGTGTTGTTGTTATTCTATGTTTTTGTTTAACTATCGTATTTTGACGAGTATAAGTCGCTGTCAAGTATAAGACGCAGCCCTATTATGAGAGAAAAAATTTAGAAAAAAACTTTTTTAATGGGATTGTCTAAAGATGCATTTTATTCGTTTTTTTATTCAAGAATATGACGGATGGATGAATCGATACTGTAAAGTAGTGGCCTTTTAGCAGAGTGGGAACAAAAGAGGCGCGACCTTGTCAATTGGACCTACGTGCGGTCGGATAATACCACTTGTAAAGTATTGACTTGTAAACAAGGGTAAACAAAGGAAGCGCCGGCTTTGTTAATTGGACCCACTTGCAGTCAGACGGTAGTACATTTGCCATATTGTAAACAAACGAACGTAAACAAGTGGAGGACGTTTGTGTGAGCTCCACTCTCGTCGGATGACGGCGGACCCGAGTGTAAGCTGTTCAGGCATAAAAAAGGGTTGTGATTGGTCGGAAGTCGCCGTTTCAAAATCCCTTAAATTGCGGGGCGAACGAGAGAGGAGGAGAGAAGGGCAAGAGACTGATAGACGGTTGTCTCAGGCACTTGGGAAGCCCGCTGAGTGTAAAGAGAGAGTGTTCTCCTCTGTTAATAATCTTCTCAGAGACGGGTTAGTGCTGAGACCGGACCGACCGTGTAGTTGAGCCGACTCCACAATCTGACTGAGGTCTCTCCAAAGGTTATTAGTTCCTAGACGCCAATCTGGCTCGTGAATTCACCACGCATGGTCATCGTGTACATATACTATGTTTTCTAACTTGTACTTTCTACTACTGTAAATAAACTGTAAATATATTCAATTTGAGTGTGGAGGTGTACTTTCCAACGAAACTGATTCATTACATCAGGTCGTGATACACAAGAAACCAACTCAACGAGACGGAGTTGGGAAGGAACGGCAATAAGATCTTCACTGATACCTTTAATTACTGTAAACTGAAATAATATCATTTCTTAATGTAAAATCAGAGGTCACGTGATGACAGTCGACATAACATGGCGGCGATGACTCGTGTGTCGCTACTCTGATAATCTAGATACTCTATCCATTCGGTTGAGGGACCATCTGCTTAACGGACCACTGCACAGGTTGTTCCTTAGAGTGGACCACTATTGTAGATAATTTCACTGTAAAAATGGTTACATGTCGAGTATAAGACGCACCATGATTTTGAGCCCCAAAAAGTAGTAAAAAAAAGTGCGACTTATACTCGTCAAAATACGGTATATAGATGTGAACGTACATTTGTTTTTTATAATTATATATTTTTTTCTTTATTTTTACTGCGTTCAAATCCACTTCGCATCCCTTTAAATTACAATGTTTCGCTACCGGGGAATTTGCATAATTCCCTTTGATTGCATGAATATGTTCTTTTAATCTTACTTTTAGTTTTCTTTTTGTTTTCCCAATTATTGTTTTCTTCTGGTTACAACTACAATTAAACGAATATACCACACCTTTTTCTTCTGTTATTTCGTATTTTCGGTCGTTTCTATAAGAAAGATGTTTTTTAGTTAAAATATAATTTTCAAAAAGGCTACAGAAAACATTAATTCGAAATAAAAATAGAGAAGCAGAATAGCATTAATTACTTAGATATAACAATTGAAAGAAGAGAAGATAGATTAATTAATAAAAAAATATGTAAAACCGACACAGATTCCCAAAAATAATTAATTACAAATCTATTATTCCTATTAGTATAAAATTTAATGTATTTAAAATGTATACGGAAAAAATAAAATATAGAACAACTGAAACAGAGACCCAGAAACAGCAAGAGGAAGAAATAATTAAAATGTACCTA